AATAATACAATAATATATAAATGCTAATTGTTTTATCATTAGTAATAAAAGGTACATTGTATGACAAAATTATCATATGATATATCACATAATTTTCATATAATATAATAATCACACAATTATAATAATTGTGATAACACTGAAAGGGTAGTTTAGAGCCAAGAAATAAAAGAAATGCCCCATGGAAGAATGTGTGTTTAATTCCACAGATAAAAGGAAGCCACTGGAGTCTATTAATTAGGGAAATAACATGGTCCATTCCACATTTTAGGAAAACAATTTTGACATCTATGTGGAGGATAAAGTGGAGACAGGAAAGATGAAGTAGGGAAACCAATTAGGAGACTATGGCAATAGTTCAGGCAAGAGATGATGGGGACCTGAACAAAGGTGGTAGCTATGTGAATGGAGAGAAGAGGAAGGAGGTGAAAGATGGTGGGGAGAAATGATTAATAATGATAATAATTAGGATTTATCATCCTTTAAGGCTTGCAAGGCACTTTGCCTACATTATCTCATTTGATCCTCACAACAGCCCTGTGAAATAGGTACTATTATTAACCCTATTTTACAATTGAGAAAACTGAGGATGAGAGAAGTTATGATTTGCCCAGTCACATAGTAAGTAAATGTCTGAGGCAGGATTGAACTCAGGTCTTCCTGACTCCAGGTCCAGCACTCTCTCTACTATTCCACCTAACTGACATCTAGAAGATTTGACAACCGCTATAATGTATAGGTTGAAAATGGGGAGTACAGCTTGACACCGAGGTTGTTAATCTGGGTGACTAGAGAATGCCCTCAACAGAAACAGGACAGTTTGGAAGAGAAGTAGATTTTGGGAAAAGATAAAGAATTTACTCTTGAAAATGTTGGGTTTAATAGGTATATGATATATCCAGTTTGAAATGTACAGTAGAAATTTGGCACTATGGTACTGGAGCTCAAGAGAGAGACCAGGACTAGATATACAGATCTGAGAATCATATATCAAACTTCTTAAAGCTAGACAATTTTGGAAAAGAGGAGGGAAAAAAACCAACCCTAAAACAAAACAAAACAAAAAAACAATCCTTCCAAATGTAAGGGTGAGGCTCCATTGGTCATACCACCCACTTAAAAGTAATGTCCTTTGTTAGGTAAGAACACTTCTTGATTGTCAATCAGTCAGAATCAAGTGTGAACAAGACATACCATTGTTTTAGAGACTTAGTTCTGTGCTAATAAATTTGTATAAAAGGAAGGATCTATCACAGTACTAGGTAGAGATCTCAAGAGTCTGGATTTGTCTGTCCATAAATACTCTAATATAATCTGCTGATTCACTATCCAAATGTTTCCAATAACCTGAATTTTGCCTCAAGTAGAAAGATGTCAGGAAAAAACTAGAGATAGATATAGATGTAAATCTATGCAGAGAGCTCAACCTCTGCTTAAACACTAGGAATCTTCCTAACCGCGAGCTTGGAACAATTGTAATTGAATTCATAACTTTTCATCTAACTTTAACTACCTACACCTAAAGACACAGAAGAGGGACCGTATGAACCTCTGGTAACATTATATTACTTCTATGCTTAAAATAAGCTAATTATTGTAAGAGGTTGTTACATAAAGTTGGAATTAATCTGATCCTGAGCTAAGCTTTTGAGAAATCTGAGTATACTGGCATCACTCCCCACTTTTTCCCCCTACCTCATCTGATGCCAGCCTTTATTTCCATGGTCTGCCAAACAGGTAGGGATAAGCAATAGGCACAGAATACTCTGAGATACAGTTATATTCCTTGTAGGAATGCTAAAAGCTTCATGTTGTGGATTAAGCCCTTCAGTGTTTGAATGTTTAAAATTTCTTGCTATAGAATCTCCTCATGGTAATCAAAAGAAATTTGACTCTGCACTTGTACTACTCACTTAACATCGGGAAAGGGAAACAGGGCAGCACTGGAGCTACAATTTTCCCCAATCGTTTAAATCGAGAAGGTAAATGGGAGTCATTATGAGGATTAGAAATGTACCAGCTATTCTCTGTCAAATAACTGTACATCACAGTCAGGTAATTACCCACCATACTGTCTTTTATATTCCAATCAGTCTTGCCTGATTTTCAATCAGTATTGTCAATAGTTTGTCAGCATTATTCGATGAGGAAGGAAGCACATGGAAAAGCTGATCTTGTTTGGCTTATGCTGTCAAGTCATTCAGATCCTGGGAGATTTTTCTGTCATTTGGATACAGCTAAACTGGTAGTGCTTTTGACGTAAATGTCGTAGGATCATAAGTTTAGAGCTGAAAGGGAACTCAGAGGCCATCTAACCCAATGCCCTGATTTTCACAGATGAGAAAACTAAGGTCCAGGGAGGTTAGATGATTTGCCCGAGGTTATATAGCTGGTAAGCACCAGAGGTATAATTTAAACCCATAGTTTGTCTTCCCATCATATCCCATTGCCTCATCTTTCTAATCATTTTTAGCATCATCATTTCATTCTTATTTCATCTTCATCATAATGATCAATTTCTTCAAAATTCGGTCAAACTCTCCTTTTTGCTAGTCTTCACACATTCTACCTCCAATCCCTATGTCTTTGCACTGGCTCTTCTCCCCGCTTAGAATGAAGTCCCTCTTCATCCACCTCTTTGAATCCCTTACTTCTTTTAAGACTCAGCTCAAGGACCTCCTCAATGAATTCTTTCTTGATCTCCATAGCTGCTAGTGCTGTCCCTCCTTAAAATTACTTTTTATTTATTTTGTAAATATTTATGTAATTTACTGTCCCTTTAACATCTGCGGCTGAGTTGTCTGCTTAGAGTTCTAAGAATTACTGAAGTAATTAATTGACCCAAAATTGTGAGATAAGTTGTTGCCAATTTTTTAAGATAACAAGCTATATGTAGTAAATCGGGGAGATTAGGACTCCAAAGCAGTTCTATGATTTGGGGACAAATATAATTTATCTGATTATTGGCAAGATAAGAATTTACTTACTAATGATAAAATAAGTTGAGGCATTTGTGGAGAAAATCCAGAAAATCTTAGAAAGATGAGAGAAGGGAAAAAGAAGCAAAAGGATAGATTTCAGAGCTGCATCAGCTAAATTTGAAGCTGGAAGTGAGAAGTACTATAATCATGATTGAGGACTACGTTCATTCAAGCAGAGAAGTAAATTGAGAGTACTGAGAATTATGGAAGTCATTCTCAGATCAATTCATTTGGCTGAGACATTATGCCCAGTAAGGCATTAGTCAAGTACAACATTGATCAACTCAGTTTAGCTAAGAAAGCATCTATTCAGAACATAAATTACATTCTTCAAAAAAAAAAACTTTTCTAGACAGTTTTTGAGACAGAAAGAGGACACTGAGGTTCAAAGTTGTGAGTTACTCTAAAAACATTACTTTTCCTCATTCCATGTGCTACCTTGGCAGGTTTCCATAAGTGTATATTCACTCTTTCTCCCAGATACTGAATACATTGGTGGGAGTGTGATCTAGGTTTATGTGTAGATTATAATATGCTTATTATTCATACATGCATTTTGATATATGAGTACTATGATGTTGTTATTATGTTTTTTCCTTTACTAATATTTAAAACCTAAAAGTATCAATATTATGAATGGCCCATTGTGGAAATAGAAGTGTATTGGTGGGGACTCAAGAGCTAACATGGTGATTAGGGGAAGTATATTTCCTCACAACCGAATTAGTCTCAGGACCCTGAGAGAATCAGATAGAACCATCTTTTGGTTGTCCTTCTTTAGGTACATAGACCTGCTGATATGAGAGCAGGCTAGAATGGCCAGTCAACTCAGAGAGTAATATAGGTATCCACATACTCCAGGTGAGAGATATGAGGTGCCACACAGTTCATAGCCAGCCCAAACATCTGTTATATATGTTTATGCTGTCTCCCCCATTAGAATTCGAAAACCTTGAGAGCAGGAAACATTTCATTTTTGTCATTGGAACCTCAAAACCTAGCACACTTCCTGGCACATACCAGGCACTTAATTAATGCTTGATGATTTCTTAATTAATCATAAACATCATTTTTTTTGGTCCATTCTCTTAAAGAGGTGAAATAATAGCTTTCCCCCCCCAAAAAAAAAAAACTAGGTGAGGAGAGGGTATATAATTGAAAATATAAAATACACATGTAACTAGTTCTCCTTCATGAGTAAACTCATCTGCATTTCCTTGATTAGGTCACAGAACAACTGTTACATAAAACTTTTTAAAGATTTATATTAGTAATTCAGTCTCCCAGTTCAGGAAGTCTAACACGTGTAGCCAACATTCTCACCATCCTATTATGTAACTGAAAAAATTTAGAAACATTATAAAGTTAAAGTAAGAACACTAGGAAAAAGAGAGATGTCAGGGAACTTGAGTTCTACTTCCAAATCAGGACACTTGAGCCAAAAATCCTACCCTCTAATGCATATCCCCTGTGTGACACGGACATATTTAATTAGCTTCCTGGCCCTTGGTCTCCTCGTCTGTTAAATTTAAGGATTAGACTAGATGATCCCCAAGGCTTGCTTCTGCCCTACCATCCTATGATTCATAGATTCTGTAGCACTTCTCAAAAGGCTGGAAACAAAGGAAAATGATGGGTTTCACTTTATAATTATGCTAAGAGGTAATCTTCTAATATTAGTAGAGCAAGATTTAAGGGAAAGGAAATCATGATTTACCTTGCAAGTGCAAGGTCAAAGAGCACATGCAGAGGAGATTATCAGATCTCATAATTTCCACTGGGGCCCTTAGTCCCTCTATGTCACCAGTCTTCACCATCTGTAATATCCACCTGCTAGGATGAAACACAAGCTAGGGTGTTTTAAAAAAAGAACCCTGTCACATCTAAGGCACTGTATCTTGGAGAGAAATGCCTGACATAGTTTCCGTCGTCACCAGATCCTCCTTCCCACCCCACACACCCTGCTTCTATTTAAATCCCAACCACACTATTGTGCTCAACGTCATTCACTCAGGGCAATTGACAGGACAAAGATAGGAGAAGAGAGTAGCATGGCCCCTGAAGAAAAGCCAAAGGAGAAGCCAGCTCAAAGAGCGATAAAGAAGATCCGGACAGCCTCTCTGGTTATTAGTTTAGCTCGAGGTTGGCAGCAGTGGGCCAATGAGAATAGTACGAAGCAAGCCCAAGAACCTTCAGGGTGGCTGCCTGGTGGGGCTAAGGAGGCAGGTGAGTCACCCAAAGTGCACAAGAATACAAAACTATTAGAGCCCCCCCAGGAGAAACAAGGCATAGGAGGAGGTCAGAGATGCCTATTGGCAAAGCCATTTTCCAATAGAAACAGAAAGTGTTTAAACAACCTTGCTGATGATGAACCCGAGGAGACCCACATTAAAAGGAAGGAGATAACCAAAACAGTGGTCAGCAAAGTCTATGAGCGAGGAGGGGACATGAGCCTTCTCAGCGACAGATATGAGAATGATGGGACCAATTCTGGATCATGGCAGGAAGGAAAAGACTTGGATCACATCGACAAGATCCTGAACAGCCATACTTCTCCAACCAGGAGGAGGAAGTGCTTGAACCTGGTGTCAGAACTGACCAAAGGCTGGAAAGAAATAGAGCAAGAGGAACCCACTAGCCGCAGTGATAGTGTAGACACTGAGGACAGTGGCTATGGAGGGGATTCTGAAGAACGGCTAGAGCAGGAGGTCAACAAGCAAGAAGGAGACCACGTGATTGCAGCCAGGATTAAACGACCCATGCCTTCCCAGTAAGTGAATTCATACTACAATAGTGTGGTCATTTTTTCTCCTGGAAAGAGAATCTCTAGTTCCACAGCAAAGACAGAAGAATGCTATATTTCTCTTTTCTCATCCTTCCATCTTCCTTCCTTCCTTCCTTCCTTCCTTCCTTCCTTCCTTCCTTCCTTCCTTCCTTCCTTCCTTCCTTTCTTAATGAGACAAAAGCCATTGGTTCTGGGATAGGACCATGAATCTAAAATGCATACTATTATGAAACAGAGACAGCCTAATAGATAGAAGTCCTGTCTTGGAAACAGAAAGATCCAGGCTCAACCCCCACTGTTGATACATTGATATTGATAGCTATCATTTAAAAAGAACTTTAAGGTTTTCAAATTGTTCAACATATGTTATGTCATTTGGTCCTCCCAATTCTGCAAGGATATACTAGATATTTATCAAAAATTAAAATAAAATAAAATAAACAGGTAGAGAGAGGTTAAGTGACTTTTCCCAGGATCACACAGCTAAGTGCCTGAGGCAAGCCTTGAACTCAAGTCTTTCATGACTCGATCCAGATCCAGCATTCCATCTACTGTACCACCTAGCTATCTCACACATATAGGCTCTGTGACCCTGGGCAACTCACTAACCTCTCTGGGCCTCCAGGAAACTGCCTATAAATTTCAGGCAAGTTATTAATTTTCATGAGTGTAGGGAATTTTCATGCTGATAGTTCCCTGCATTGATAAAACGCAGGCTTAGAGGAAATAGAGGTACATGCATACACATATGTGTATGTATGCATTTAGAACATATAATGTACATGATCATATATAATTCACATATACATTGATTATATTTCACATAAGTTTAGAACTCCAAAGTTTTGAGAATACTGTTCTCACAAGCACCTTGTGAGTTAGGAGGTCTAAGTATTAATCTGCTTCTTACAGAGTTAAGGACATTAAGGTTTTGTAAACTGTCCAATGTAGGATCTTATCTATTTAAAGATGGATGGTCCCCTAGTCCAGCTCTCTCATAATAAGGCCAAAGAGGTTAAGTGCTCTCTTGCCCAAGGTCATACAAGTATTGAGTGCCAGCCCTGAAATTCAAACCCAGGTTCACTGAATTCCAAATCTAACACACTTTTCATTGCATTGAATTGCTAAGTCTCTTCACCCCAAACCTACTGCTCTTTCTTCCATGTCACGATGTCTTTGGTCTGTGTTCCTTTAAAGACACAATTTTTGTTGTTCTTTAGTTGTTTCAATCGTGTCTGACTCTTCATGACCCATTTGAGGTTTTCTCGGCAAAAATATTGGACTAATTTATCATTTCCTTCTTCAGCTCATTTTAAAAATGAGGAAACTGAGGCAAAGAGGGTTAAGTGACTTGCTTAGGGTCACACAGCTAGTAAATGTCTGAGGCCAGAGATTTGGACTCAGAAAGATGAGTCTTCTTGACTCCAGGCCTGGCACTCTATCCACTGCACTACCTAGCTGCCTGTGAGTGGTATTACTTTAATGAAATATATGATTCAGCTCAACAATTCCTTACTGAAATATTTCATTCCTTTGGGGGATGTCAGTAAGCTGGGGAATACCTGCCCTGTTCCTAATTTAATCTATAAAATTTCTCAAGTAATATCCATGGGGCACAGAATTTCTATGAAATTTTACTTCCAAGGTAGAAGTGTACTTTTTTTGCTGACTGCTGTTAGGGGTCTTTCCCTTTATGCGAATCACAAAAATGCACATTGGACGCTTTTATAATGTTTCTTCAGGAGAATAAAATACTTTGCTCAGTTCTTAAGGAGAAGGAATAGATCTGTGATTTCATTGGTTTAAGGAATTCCTAGGTAAGAAAGTTACCTCTACCAATGCAGGATCCCTCTGTACCTTATAGTCTTAGAGAGAGTTGCCCAGAGTACTAAGAAGTTAAATTATTTGTACAGGGTCATAAAGACATTATATATCATAGATAGGATTAGAACTCATGTCTTCCTAGCTATAAGTCCAACTATCTTCTACAACATATTGCCTCTTATGTTGTTTGTCTGATTCTTTGTTGACCCTATTTGGGGTTTTCTTGGCAAAGATACTGGAGTGGTTTGCCATTTCCTTCTTCAGCTTATTTTACAGATGAAGAAACTGAAGAAAACCAAGTTAAGTTATTTGTCCAGGTTCATACAGCTAGTAAGACTCTGAGGCCAGTTTTGAATTCACAAAGATGAACCTTTCTGACTCCAATCCTGACACTCTATCCCAAGTTCATAGGCTTTTGTAACAAAAACACAAACTAATGTTTCTATAGTAATTCATAGTTATAGTGTTCTCCTCCCATAACCTTATGACGTAGATAGGGGGGATATTATTATTACCATTTTGCAGATGAAAGAATTGAGGTTGGAGGTAAGGTTCAAGGACTCACCTGTGGTCACCCAATTAGCGTCTCAGGCAAAACTTGAACGTAGGCCTCCTATCTCCCAGTCTAGCACTCTTTACGCTAAATTATGAACAAAGCTATTTGGTTTATCAAAATTAACCCAGTTTTAACAGGCTCCTGGATATACTAGACATTTGCCCCAAAAAAATATCAGGTGAAAATAATTTTGTAATAAAAAATATGCCTTTTATTTTAGTGCAATTCTCCAATTTTACATTTCAGTTCTGGGTTCATAGTGGCTCAAAATATGGGAAATACAAACCATCATTCATATAATGTCACTAAAAGTTTAATGCTCTGAAGAAACCTGGAAAATCAAATATATCATGTTATTTTATATGGATACCTAAAGTTTCACATTTTTAAAAGTTTAAAAAAGAATTTTGATTTCTATATCCCACCAAAGTTATACTCTGATTTCTCATCGTTGGCACAGAGATAAGCCCAGATTCAAAGGCAAGGCCACAAAATTAGGCTCTTCCTCAGCCCAAAATGCATTGAAAACAGACTCATCAAAGCATTCTGTGTCTGTCATGCTGAGGACCAGCCTAGCTGAGCTCAGAGATATTTACTCATCACCAGAAAGTTGGGCACTAACTTTTTTTTAGTTAGGTGGTGACCTTTTTATTTTTTTCCAGCCCAAACAATCCATGAGAAGAAGTGTTACTTAGTGGCTAGAAAGATTGCCCTGCTTCTGATATATAATGACCCTGAGTAAGTCACTTAACTTCTCAGTGCCTCAGATGCTGAGTTGTAAAGAGCATACCAATCAACATTGGGAGTAGAAGTTTGACCAGAAGTTCCCTATACCATTAAAAGCATAGGGCTAGTCCTACTCTAACAACTCATGAAATTGTCTACTACGAACGGCATGCAAGGGTGGCTATCTCTATCAGTGGAAAGTATCCACATTGATGAACTCTCAGCTCTTTTTGAAGCATGAAAGATGTGAATACCAAGGACTGAATCAAGAACCCCCCCAAGCCAAGAAGATCTGGGTTCAGGTCTTGCCTCTAATACATATTGGCTGCGTGACTTGGACAAGACATCTTTCAGCATTCTCAGCAATTCTTTAAGCTAGAGATTCTTACCCTGGAGTCTATGAGCTTTAAAAAATCATTTTTGATAACTGTATTTTAACATAGTTGGTTTCCTTTGGAATTTTATGTACTTTAGTTTTTGCATTTCAAAACATATTCTAAGAAAGGGTCCATAGGCTTTGCTAGGCTGCCAGATGAGTACACGCACACACACACACACACACACACACAGACACACACACACACACATACACACACACACAGGTTAAGAACTGCTCCAAGAGTGTATAAGCTTGGATCCAACTTGCATTGGTCGATAACAATTCCTTTTACCAATGAAATCATAGGTATAGACAAAAAAAATAAAAAACGGCAAATAAAAATTCCCTAAACACAATTAAGCTCAAATGCTCAATACTATCAGATGCTTTTGGTCTATAAAATAAGGAAGCACCCTAGTTTGGTGGAAAGAACACTGGATTGAGAGTCTAGGGACATGGATTCAAATCTTAGCATTACCACTAGCTCAAAGTATGAACTTTATGAACTTTATTGAGTCTTGGTTCCATCATCTATAAAGTGAGAGGGCTGGCAGGGATGGTTATTCTTAATTCTTCCAATTCGAATGTTCTATAGTTGTATAAGATCTGGATTTGCCCCCTTTCTTTATATTAATTTTGGATAGCATAATCAGAGAAAAGATAAAACCAGCCCTAATATAAGGTCTACTATGATTTAAAAATGTAGTTCATATGACCCAATTACCACCACTTTTTTCTTGTGTCTTTGAGATCTATGCAAGAGCATTGATTACCTTTAATCTCTTTTCTAGTTTCTCCATTCCCCATCCTCTATGAGAACATGTGGTGCTAGAAATCAGTTTATATCAGCACCCTTGAATGTCAGAGGTAATTCTAGGCCAGGCCAGGCTGCTTCTCCAGAAATCTAAATTCCAAGATTGACTATTGAGACTTTCACATGGTGTTTATAACCAGGATTGCCGGTGCCTACAGCTGGGAGCAGGGAGCCGGCTATGTTAAGAGATCCACTCTGGAAAAAAGCTTTCATTTCCATGTCCCACCGGCTCCATCTCTCAAATAAATGAAAACGAATCTAAGTGACACTGATTTTCTAAGGACTTCATAAATTTAAAACATCCGTGTAAGAGAAAAATGGGTTTTAGGTGGCTGGGGGTTTTCCTCAGATTGTAGAGAAAAATAAATCTGTCTCAACACAAGTAATTAAGGAGAAGAGATGACATCTGTGTCTTCCTGCATCCTTCTCTCTCCCCCAATCAGAGCATTCACATAAAATGGTCAAATAGGTAGTTTGACAACCACCCTATTTAAAAAGTCTATTCCCCTTTGAAGATAACTAGATTTTTTAAAAAGCAGATAAAGGCCAAAAGAAACTCTGTTAAATAGTGAAAATTTAGTCTTGAGTGGAGAGAATTCACTTTTCTCATTTGTCTTATTCTAGTATATTTTAGCATCATTCTATTCACATTAAATTTCCATTATTTCTTTTCTAACCAAATATGATTCTCACTTTTCCAGCCTAACCATCTCCATACTGGCTGTCTAAATTATCACCTTGTTTCCTGTTTAGATTCTAACCAAAACCAGGTCATGATCCAATTTTCACTTTTCCGTCTCCTACCATGCTCTTCCTAACTTTTTCTTCACACTTCCATTTTTCCATTGTCTCCCACAGGTTTTCTGTATTTTTGCCTCACCAGCTTTTTAGAAATGCCTTGTCTGTGAGACTTTCCTACTGGGATTTTAAATAAAGTCTCTTTGCCACTGACCAGGGCTATTTTTCTCCATCTAGCTAACTTTTCTTAGGAAAACTCAATGGAGAACATGAGAAAAAGTCCATCCAAAATTGAAAGGAACTAACCTGTTTTTTCTAAAGACCAGACTATGGGTTTTTTTAAAAACAGAGTTTCCTTTGGTTTCAATTTGCTTTCTTTTCTAACTGGAGGAGAAGAGGTCATAAATGTGAACCTGTGATTCACTTTAGAAATAGATAAACTAAGGTTCAGGAGAAGTTAAATGACTTGCCCAGGGTCACACAGCTAGAAAGCATCTGAATATGAACCCCAAACTCCTTACTTCAAGACAAGTCTTCTTTCAATGTGTAAATATATAAAACTGTGCTTTCCATGTGCTATTATTTCAAACCAGTTTCATGGTCATTATCTCTGATACTCTTCAAATTTCCTTGGACCATCACATCTAGGTGTCATTCTGGATAGTGTGCAGCACTTGGAGTCAAGACCTGAGTTCAAATTCTTCATATTAGCTATGTGACCCTGGGCAAGTTATTTAACCTTTCTTAGCCCTAGTTTTCCTGTCTACAAAATGGGAATAATAATAATAGTACCTACCTTAGTGGGTGGTAAAGAAAATTTAATAATACTTGTAAATATTTTGCAAACCTTAAAGCACTATGCAAATTCTAGATAGCCATAAAATTAAGGCAAGAACCCTGCACTCAAATATATTTATTTGCCTCTAATAGCATGAGATTATTTTGAGATTGTTAACAGGAAAGAATTTTCAGAAAGGAATGAGAGGGTTTCTTGATTGAATAAAGCAAGATCAGAATTCCAAGGTATTTTTCTTAAAGTTCCATTGTCCACTACCCTGCATATAGCAGACTTATAATGCATGCTTATTGGCTAATTTAGAAAAGTTTTGGTTCTCAGAGCTTCTAACATCAGGTAACTGAAGAAACATATTTTTGTCTAGATTAGAAATGCCATCACGAACTATATAGACAAATTCCCCGATTTTCAACATTTCATGGTTCTTTTGATTTTTTTCCTATTTTATATAGACTCAATATTCATAATTTCAGTCCCATTGTTGTTTGTAAAAGAGAAACAGTATTGAGTCTATTAGTTGACCAAGAAAAAATGTAATAAATCTCTAATTATTGAGTGGATGAAAGTCTATTTCTTTCCTTAAATACTAAGAGACTATGATTTTTACACTTGTAAAATATATTGTATGTGTCAAATTCTATAATTTTAATTTTAACAAAGGGAAAAAAATAAGTATGATGATAGAGCACTTTTAAAAAACTAAACCCTAGATTTAGTGAAAATCTGCCATCTAGTGGTTATCATTCTCATTTTGACAGACATAAAAGTATGGGTATTCACATTTGGAACTGCAATATCAAATGGAATGAAAATATCAATGGAATTATCCAGTACATCTTTTTAAATGAATATTTATTAACATCTGTGTATGACTAAGGGTGTTTCAATCATGAATTGACCGGAAGTTCAGTTGCTGTTCAGTCTTCTTTTCAATCACATCTTACTCTTTGTGACTCCATTTGAGGTTTTCTTGTCAAAGATGCTGGAGTGGTTAGCCATTTCCTCCTCCAGCTCATTTTACAGATGAGGAACTGAGGCAAACAGGGTTAAGTGACTTTCCTGGGGTCACACAGCTACTGTGTCAGGCCAGATTTGAACTCAGGAAGAGGAGTCTTCCTGACACCAGGCCTAGCATTCTATCCATTGTGCCACCTAGTTGATCTCAATTTGACCCAACCCATTCCATTAAATGAAACAAATACTACAGACACAGTTGTTTTTGTTGTTACTGTTGTTGAGCAAATAAGAATTGAATACACAACTTAGAACACATAACTTACTTCTGTCTTTTCTAGGGCTTCCTGCATAGTTCTTGTATTGACTAATATTCTTCATATGGGAACCTTGAATTTTCCGGTGCTTTTTGCTAGTATCAAAATTTTGTCTTATGATTAACATTCTAATATACTCCAGAGCAGCACTCACATTTGCTGTTTAAGCTTTAGGGGATTGATAATCATGAGTATTACAGACCAGTGATGTTTTTCCGTGTGTGTGCCCTGGATTTAGGAAAATCCAATATTTAAAAAAATGTTTTAAAAACAAACACAGTAGAGGGAAGTTACAGAATCATTTATGATTGCAAAAGGACTCATCTCAAAGGTTATAGGATCACGAATTTTTGAAATGGACAGGACATTAGAGGACACTTGAGTCCAACTCCCTCATGTTATAAATGAGGAAGTTGAGGCACAGGGAAGTTAGATGACTTGTGCCGGTCCTTTTAAGGCAATTCCATTTCTAAAATAGATTTACATATAACTTTTCAGAAGTGCATTTGCCTTGTGATTCTGAAATACATACTATAGCATGAGGAGGGGGAGGGGATTATTGTAGAAGAGTCTTTTGATAACTTTGATATCCTTCGCTGTTGAAACTATTTCCTTTCTTACTTTTAGGGCAAGCAGGTTTGCAGAGAATCTCAGCAGCAAGGCTCAGAGGAAATACAGCCAAGTGAACAGCATGAAGGGGAGATGGCAAAAATGGGCTGATGAGCATCTGCAGTCCCAAAAGCTGAATCCCTTTAGCGAAGAGTTTGATCATGAGCTGGCCATGTCCACCCGTCTGCACAAAGGGGACGAGGGCTATGGGCACCCCAAAGAGGGAACAAAAACTGCTGAACGGGCCAAACGAGCAGAAGAACACATTCACCGGGAAATCATGGATCTGTGCTTTGTCATCAGAACAATGGCTCACCACCGACGGGATGGCCAGATCCAAGTCACCTTTGGGAACTCTTCGACAGATATGTACGGATATCTGATAAGGTGGTAGGCATCCTTATGAGAGCCAGGAAACATGGACTTGTTCACTTTGAAGGAGAAATGCTATGGCAAGGCCGAGATGACCATGTGGTGATTACACTCCTGGAGTGATCTTACAACACTTGAGTGGATCACAAGATCCAGCTTTTCTTCATATTAACTACAAATGGAGAAGAGATGTAAAATGCAACCTACTGAGTAGCAGACTTGCAAATATTATTATTTTTGTGGTAATCTGGATCCTCTTCCATCCAGGAGAAATCTTGGGACATTTGAGAAAATAGACACAAATGGTTAATATTGTTTAATAATGCCACTTATATTTGAAAGGTTATTTTTATCCAAATAGCATAGGCTGTTTAATGCAGAAGTATTGATGAGTTTTAAGCAAAGGTCTAAATCATAAGAATCAAGAAGGGTACTAACAAAAGGAAAAAGCAAGGAATGCTAATAGCTACTGCAAACAACAGAAAAATAGCAAGAAAAACAGTTTACATTTCTAACATGGCATCATTTCATTAGATCCTCAAGATTACTCCTCTAAGCAAATAGTGCAAATATCACTATCCCAGATGAGAAAACATAGGCTCAGAGAGATTGTGATTCATCCAAGGCCACACAGCTAGTACTAATTGTAAGCTGAGACTCAAACCCATTTTTCTGATTCCATGTCCAACACTATTTCTAGAACCATAGATTTTGAGGTGTGTCCATTTGTTTATCTGGTAATACCACTGAAGCATCTCTTTTTTTTTTTTGTCCGTTTTTGGTTTTTTTTAGCATTTCCTTTGCATTTTTATTTCTAAGGTCTTTAGAATTTCTCCCTTTTATTTTTTTATAAATTTATTTTGAATTATAAACAATCACTTCCATAAGCTTTTGAGTTTTAAATTTTTCTCCCCCTCCCTCCCCACCTCCCTCCCCTAGAGAGTGCACAATCAGATATAGGCTATACATATACATTCCTATTAAACATATTTTCACATTAGTGATGTTATAAGTAAGAATTAGAACCAATAGGAGGAACCACCAGAAAGAGGAAACAAAACACAACAGAAGAAAAAAAAATAGCAAATAGTATACTACAATCTGCATTCAAACTCCATAGTTCTTTCTTCTTTGTGGATAGCATTCTCCATCATGAGGCCTTTGGAGATGTCTTAGATCCTTGTGTTGCTGAGAAGGGCTAAGTCTATGAAAGTTAGTCATCATACAACGTGGCTGTTACCATGTACAATGTTCTCCTGGTTCTGCTCACTTCACTCAGCATCAGTCCATACAAGTCTTTCCAGGTTTTTCTGAAATCTACCTGCTCATCATTTCTTCTAGCACAATATATTCCATTACATTCATATACCACAACTTGTTCAGCCATTCCCCAATTGATGGGCATCCCCTCAATTTCCAATTCTTTGCCATCACAAAAAAAGAGCTGCTAAAAATATTTCTGTACATGTGGGTCCTTTTCCCATTTGTATGATCTCTTTGGGATATAGCCCTAGAAGTGCTATTGCTGGGTCAATGGGTATGCACATTTTGTTAGCCCTTTGGCCATAGTTCCAAATTGCTCTCCAGAATGGTTGGATCATTTCACAACTCCACCAACAATGCATTAGTGTTCCAATTTTCCCACATTTTCTCTAACATTTGTCATTTTCTTGTTTGGTCAGCTTGGCCAATCTGATAGGTGTGATGTGGTACCTCAGAGTTGTTTTGATTTGCATTTCTCTAATCAACAGCGATTTAGAGCATTTTTTCATCTGACTACAGATGGCTTTAATTTGTTCATCTGAGAACTGCCTATTTATATCCTATGACCATTTATCAATTGGCGAATGACTTGTATTCTTATAAATTTGACTTAATTCTCTATATTTTTTAGAAATGAGGCCCTTATCAGAGACACTGGTTATAAAAATTCTTTCCCAATTTTCTACTTTCCTTCTAATCTTGGTTGCATTGGCTTTGTTTGTGCAAAAACTTCTCAATTTAATGTAATCAAAGTTATCCATTTTGCATTTCATAGTGTTCTCCATCTCCTGTTTGGTCATGAATTCTTCTGTTCTCCATAAATCTGATAGGTAAACTATTCCTTGCTCTCCCAGTTTGCTTACAGTATCAGCCTTTATATCTAAGTGATGAACCCATTTCGACTTTATTTTGGTGTGTGGTGTGAGTTTTTGATCTACGCCTAGTTTCTGCCATACTGTTTTCCAGTTTTCCCAGCAGTTTTTGTCAAAGAGTGGGTTCTTAGCATTTCTTGTTAATAGGGGTTAAACTAAACCTAACCTTGACTTAAACTACTTTATATATATATATTGTTTTTTCTTGGAATTATAGCATCCTACACACCCTAAAGCATTAAATATGATCCTGACATCCTTCAGAACTCCCATTATGAGCTCAGGCTACTGGGCAAGATGCCAGCAGTCCTGCCATCCTCTCTTCATGTGGTCTACTCATTGAGTGCCATGTACAAGCAGCACATCCAAACACAAACACTTGGAGCTCTTGAATATTTTCCAGTATTTGATGTTTAGGACAACACGGGTCAAATACCCAACAGAGAGAGGATAATTCTTCAATCCAATTCAACAAACATTTATTAAGGGACTAAGGATAAAACAAAATGACAAAACAGTCCCTGCCCTCAAGTTTCATGAGTTCCCAGAGCTTATGGCTCTATAGAAATATATAGATCAGGAAGGGAGAATTCTTCTAGAGCATGTACATAAAAATCTCATAAAACATCAGTAACATCTTATGATATTATTGGAAATGACAATTTTTTCTTGTGTTCTGCCTCCAGAAAAGTTGACCAAAAAAAAATGAAAAAGTTTTTAAAGTTAAACTTAATTTAAACTTCTATTTTTTCAATAAAACATTCTCAAAAAAATTAAATAGAAAAATGCCCCTGTCATCCTAACGTCAAACAATATAGCTTAAAAACGGGACTTGTTTAAAACAGCTAGACATAGACAACTTCCAACATTAATTCATGGTGGATGTTTCTTCAATTAATGTAGAGAAATAATTTCATATATCATAGCAAGTTCCAAGAAAATGCAAATGAAAAAACTGCATTTCCCTTATATAAATGGGGCATAAATGATGACAAGGTAAATATCTGCCACAAGGAGTAGAACTATGACATGAGATGTGGGATTAAGATAATCATACAAGATTTAGCAAAAGTTACCAAGGAGGTAGCTGCGACTACCTTCATAGTATAATTTCTGGTATGAATAAAGGATATATGAATATTTCATAATTACAAGACTATGTAATATACTTCCCTCTGTAACAACGACCACTCACACAACAATGTAGTATGAGCACACAGGCAGGAGAAAATATCAGTCTGAGTCAGAGATTTCTGGGGGGTTATTTATGTCTTTTTATTAAGGAGGTTCTCTTTCAAACTGAAAGTTCAAATGTCTTCTTAATGAAGAAAAGGTGTACATTTTTCTTTCAATGAAGTTTGAACAAAACAAAAATAAGCTACAAAAATGTTTTAATGTGCGTGTGTGTTTAATAAGATCAACAGAATGCACCATTCTACCCCAATGATAAAACTCATGTCAAACTTTAGCAGTAAAATAATTTAGGAATAAAGACTATTTTTCAACACATGCTTGTATTTCTGTGTTTCAATCTGTGGGTAAAGCAAAAATGAAGAAAACTCCATACAGTAACGTTCTTGCGTGAGACATGCTGCAAAGTTAGAAAAATATTAACTTGTTTTACTTCTTGTAATTTCCTTCATGTATGCACACTTTGTGAAGGCTCCTAATAATTACAGAGGACCTCTGTCTTTTAGTATATTGATTATTAATGTGCGGCCAATTTAAAACATAACTGTTTAGGACACCATGTAACTGAGACCAAGATTATTGTTTGATGCCTGTATAGGGAGCCGGCTGGTTTGGGTTGAATATATGATTCACAGAGAGACTGCAGCTCTAAATTCAATTGGCTGGATTTCTACTGCTGGTCACAAGGGGTACCAAATGAGGGTGTGGGTGTGGGTATGGATAACTTAGTAGAAACCAATCACTATGTCTGGGAAATGCAACTCAAAGTAGATTGAGTTCAAGGCTTCACATTAAAAGAAGATACTCAGGATGGGGAGGTCTTTCAAAATCACATCATTAGGATCTGCCTGAATAAAGTGGTGACGCTGCAGCTTGTAGCAGACTTGGAGACTAGAACATGGCCTGAGGGGCATGTTCTCTCTGTTCAAATACGGAACGGCGATTACGTTTATGCTGCTTTGTACCAAACTTCAAACTCAGCCTGTCTAAAACTGAGCTTACTTCCTTTCCCCCCTAAACTTGTTTCATCTTTTGCCTCCATTCTGTTTTGTCATTTTGTTGTTGTTCAATTGTTTCAATCGTGTCCAACTCTTCATGACCTATCTGGGGTTTTCTTGGCAAAGACACTGGAGTGTTTTCTATTTTCTTCTCCAACTCATTTCAAAGATGAGCAAACTGAGGTAAACAGGATTGAAAGACTTGATCAGGGTCACACAGCTACTAAGTGTCTGAAGCCAGATTTGAATCCAAGAAGATGAGTATCCTGATTCCAGGTACAGTGCTTTAGTCACTGTGCCATCGAGCTGCCCCCTAATTTGTCACTGGCAATATAATTCATCCCATCTCCCATATCTATAACCTTAGAGTTATCTTTAACTCTCTCCTCTACATTACCTCATACTTGTAGAAAACATGTCTGTTGGGAACCTTATATTTCCAACAGAGATTAGCTAGCAATAGAACACTTCCAGTTGGCTTTGGTGTTCTTACAAATTGGATGTTATCATTGTAGGTATCAATTACTCAATTAAACAGTAAGCATTTATTAACTGCTAACTGTGTGACAGACACTGTGCTAAGAGCTAGGGATTCCAAAAAAGGCAAAAGCAGTCCTTGTTCTCAAGCTGCTTACATTCTAATGCTGGAGATAACACTTATGTGAAAGGTACATACAACAATACATACAGATTAGATAGAAGATAATGTTAGAGAGAAGAGGGAAGGTGGAGGGAGAGGAGGTACACAAGAACTAGTAAAGACTTCTTCTGGAAGGTGGTGCTTCAGCTGAGTCTTGTAGAAACCCACGAATTCAAATAGAAAGTGCATTCCAGGCATGGAAGATGACTGCTGTAAAGATATGCAGATGGGAGATGAAAAGTTGCATGTGAATAGAAGCAGGTAAACCAGTATGGCTGGATTGTTGAGTGAATGAAGGGGAAGACTGGAAAGGGAGGAAGGGGCCAGATTCCGAAGAGATTTAAATGTTCAAAAACATCCTTATATTTGTTTCTGAAGGTAATAGGAAACCCCTGAAGTTTACTGAGAAGGCACCTGACATGGTCAGAAACATGCTTTAGGAAAGTCACTTTGACTACTGTTTGAGGATAGATTGAAATGGGGAGACATTTAAGGCAGAGAGACTTATTAAAGTCTATTGTAATAGTTCAAGTGAAAGGTAAGGACCTAAATTAGAGGGTTGACTGTGTGAGTGAAGAGAAAAAAATATGTTAAGAGAGAAGCTGTAAAGGTAGAAATGACAATCTAGTCTGAAAAAATGATTCACTGTGATTTTTTTCTTAGATTTCCTCATCAGGACATGATCTGGTACATTTTCCAGATCTTTGTGGAGGAGCTGTATTGGAAGAGGTGGGCGAAACCTTTGTTTTCCTCAGTCATTTCATCTTTCACCTGCCACCTTGACTCTGCAAATATGTTCCTTAACAAATTTAGGCTTATAGGTAAATATATAGTTGTAAACTTGAATTAACAATTAATCACATT